ATTCCCACAGCATCCTGAGTGTGTGGGTGTGTTTTACTGAGCTTGAGATCACTTGGGAGTTAAGGCTGAGGATGTGGCTTCATTGGTAAAGTATTTGCCTAGTGCCTTAGTTAGGTTTCTATTTCGGTGATGAAGCGCCATGACCAAAAGCAAGTCGGAGAGGAAAGGGTTTATTTGGCTTACACTCCCACATTGCTGTTCATCATTGGAGGAAGTCAGGACAGGAACTCAAACAGGGCATGAACCTTGAGGCAGGAGCTGATACAGAGGACACAGAGGGGTGCTGCTTACTGGCTTGCTCCTCCTGGCTTGCTCAGCCTGCTTTCTTTTCTTTTCTTTTTTAAATGATTTATTTATTTATTTGTAAATTGTTTTGCCTGCATGTATGTCTTTATGAGGGTGTCAGATTATTGGGGGGGGGGGAGTCTGCCAATAGCACTCAGACCCCTCAGACTCAGGAAATTGATTCCAAACTGGTGATTTGTTGAATGTTCTTTTCCAAAAGATTTTGATCAGGGATGCAGTTGGACTCAGGAACCAAGGCTAAGCCCCTAGGCCATTCTCATGGCCTGTGTTTATACGGAAAAAACCACAAACAGGTGTATTTGCAACATTTTAGCTACCTAGACAAAGCAATGCTCTCTAACCTTGGCTAACATACATATGTTTAAACACAGGTATAGATTGTTTGAATAAATGAAAATATACAAGCTTTTCATCTGAGTCTGGTTGATTTCGTTTTCCATAATGATGTCCAGTTCCGTTTGTTTTCCCAAAAATGACATAATTTCATTCTTTCAAGCCAAGGGGCCAGTGAGGTGGCTCAGAAAGTAAAGGGGCTTGCTGCCAAGGCTGACAACCTGAGTTTGATCCCTGAGACCTACACACTAGGAGAAAACCAATTTCTGCAAGCTGTCCTCTGACCTCCACACATCAATTAAGCCCAGTAAAACCCTCCATGCGTAAATGTGTATTTAAATGATTTTTAAATTTTATTTCATTTATATGTATGGGGGTTTTGCCTACATGTAAGCCTGTACACCATGTGTGTGCCTGGTACCTGTGGAGGCCAGAAAAAGACATCAGATTCCCTGGAACTGGAATGACAGAAGGTTGTGAGCCCCCTGGAGTGGGCGTTGGGAACAGAACTGAGGTCCTCCGGAAGAGCAGGAAGTGCTCTTAACCAGCTGAGCCACCTCCCCAGCTCCCTGTTGCTTTCCTAGTGGAATTATTCTGGTGAGAGTCATGTGGAATCTCGGTGTTTTGGTTTTCAGTTCCCTGGTGGCTAAAAAAGGATATCAAACTTTTTTTCATGTATTTGCTGGCTGTTTGTACTTCTCCTTTTTAGAACTGCCTTTTCAATTCACTTGAATTTTGTTTTTCTTTTGAACTATGGAAAATCACTCTTCCCTGTCACCAGCTGGCACACATCAATGGCATGCTTAGGAATGGGGGCTAATTCTGAGGGCTGGGCCTCAGTCCGTTCCTACTAGGCTCAACTCTGCCTTTAGCTATTTCATGTCTTCTTTTTATCTTTATGTCATTCATTTATTATTTGTTTGTTAATGTCTTTATTTATTGTGTATATGTGTGTGTGACTGTGTGTACGGACAAGTGCACCAGTGTAAGGCCAGACATCCGCTGTCTGCCTCAGTTGCCCCCTACCTGTGTGTGTGTGTGTGTGTGTGCGCGCTGTAGGAACCTGAGTGGGTGGGTGCACATACATGAATGTGAATATGCAGAGGCCGGCGGAGGACATGATGAGTTCCTCTCTTTTCTCTATCTTGTTTCCTTGGAATGGGGTCTGTCACTGAACCAAACCTCACCGTTCTATCTAGCTGGTTAGTCAGCTCCCAGGATCTGCCTCTCTCTGCCCCAACACAAGCTACAGGCACTCCCAACCATGCCTGTTTTTGTTTGTTTGTTTGTTTGTTTGTTTTGTTGTTGTTGTTTTATGTGGATGCTGGAATTTTTATGTTTTAGCCTTAGATCTTGTCTTGTGGCTGTGGAGATATACCATGACCATGGCAACTTTTATAAAGGAAAACATTTAATTGGGGCTGGCTCACAGTTCAGGGGTTTAGTCCGTTATCACCATGGCAGGAAGCATGGCGGCATGCAGGCAGACATGGTGCTGGAGGAGCTGAGATTCTACATCTGGAGCTACAGGCAGCAGGAAGAGAGAGTGACACTTGGGATTCTGACACCTCAAAGCCCTCAGGCACATTTTCCCCAACAAAGGCACACCTACTCCAAGGCCTCACCTTCCAATAGCACTACAGCAAGTGAGCCTCTGGAGGCTGTATTCATTCCACCATCACAGGTCCTCATCTTACACTGCGAGCACTCTTACAGCGGGGCCACCCCTCACCCGCAACATCTACTTTAAAAAAACAAAAAACAAAACAAACAAAAAACAGGGCCTCTTCCTCACGCTGGAAACTGACAGGCTAGGCTGCCTGGCTAGTGAATCCTAGGACCCCCCTGTTTCTACCTGTGGGATTACAGACTGATGCCTCCATGTGTGCATTTGTATGTGAGTTCTAAGGCTTGAGTTCAGCAAGCACTTTGCCGGCTGAGCCATGCCCTTTTGAGTCCCTTTTGACTCCCCTACCGTGTCCTGCTGTTGCTCCCTGGGCCATCTCTCCCTGCCCTGCCTGTGATACCACAACTGAATGCATGAGGTTTATACTTTCGGGGAACGACAGAGTTAGAAGGTCTTATCCTCCTTCTGAAGTTGAATAAAATTCATGCTGGAAGAGGTTAAACATTGCCCAGTCTGGAACATAGACACTTCCCGGGGAGATAGAAGCAGGAGAACCCCAAGTTCAAAGTCAGTGTAAGAAACTGAGTGAGATCCTAGCTCATGTTTTACAAAAGCAGGAGAAGAAGGGGCTGGGGTCACGGCTCAGTGGTAGAGACTGTGTGTGGGCAAGGACTGAGGCACAATGTCCAGTTTTGAAAGAGAAAAAGACAAAGTGTAGTATTAAAGACAGTCAGCGGTGCAAGGGCTCAAGCATGGGAGGGCCTAGGAGGAACGGGAAGCGAGTGCGACCAAGGTGCATTGTGTGAAATTCCCAAATAATCATTAAAAATCTTATGTTGGAGGAAAAGGTGGACCATAAGATCTATGTATGTATGTATGTACATATGTACTCTCTGATCCCAGTTTCTGAAACAGAGCTTCCAGAATTTCCGAAGGGTTGGAGGTTAGGAGTATTTTACAGGGAGGCCCTACATTCCTACCACTGAGCCACACCCCCAGCCCCTCACTGGGGGATTCTAGGCAGGGGCTCTGCACTGAGCTACATCCCAAGCCCCTCACTGGGGGATTCTAGGCAGGGGCTCTGCACTGAGCTACATCCCAAGCCCTTTTGATCTTTACTCCAGGGTTGTCAAGGAAGGCCAAGGCCATGCACAGCAGGATGCTCTGGGCTCTCATCCCCTCCCAGCCCTGGACATGTAGCCCAGGAGCCTCTCTGTAGCACACCTGCTTTCTTCATAGTCAATCCTGTTTTCCAGACAGTTGAGAACAAGCAAGGGACAGCCACCTCTGTGGGAAAAGTTACATTTTACTTGGCTTATTGAAAATAGTGACCATGTCTATGCTCATGATGTACCCCACTCTACCTCATATAGTAAGAAAAGAAAATCTTGGGATTTCCTTCCCACCCTATCTTCCCCTCTCTAGGAAAGAGAATACTAGGGAGAGCCCAGTATTAAAGGAATATTAACTTCTTGTTCCCAAAAGTTGCAAGGAGCAAGCCATGTCGCCAAGTAGGACACTGTGAAATTAGATATTCACAAAGGAACCAGACTCCCTAGGCTGGGCCTTCGTCCTGGCATCTGGATACTTTTTAAGTTAAAATTATTGTTATTGTTTTTTTAGGTAAAGTCTTGCTATGTAGCCCAGGCTGGCCTGGGAATCATGTTCCTCCTGCCCCAGACTTCTGACTGCTGGTTTATAGGTGCGGGTCATCATACTCAGGTGTATGCTTCTCTACTTTCTCCTCCATCTTCTCCCTCCATGCTTCCTTGCTTCCTTCCTTCCTTGATTCCTTCCGTTCTTCCTCCCTGACAAAGTCCCATGTAGCCCAGGTTTGCCTCAAACTAGCTATGTGGCCAAAGATGCTTTTCCCTTCCTGGCAGTCTCATAATAGCCCAGACTGGCCTCCAATTTGCTATGTAGCTATGTAGCCTTGGATTTGTTTTTTAGGCATGGAGGTTTGAGAAAAGGTCCCACCAAAGCCAATTGCAAGCAAGGTGCACCTGCAAGCAAGGTATACCTGAAACAAGGTATACCTGCAAACAAGGTACACCTGAAACAAGGTGCACCTGGAAGAAAGGTACACCTGCAAGCAAGGTGCACCTGAAACAAGGTACACCTGCAAGCAAGGTACACCTGCAAACAAGGTACACCTGGAAGCAAGGTGCACCTGGAAGAAAGGTGCACCTGGAAGCTTCTGTGTAGCTCTGGCTCGCCTGAAGCTCTTGCTATGTAGACCAAGCTGTTTTCAAACTACAGAGATCTTCCTGTCTGTGCCTTCTGAATTCTGGGATCAAAGAATGGTGTGCACCACCATGTCTGGCTAACCTTGAAGACATTCTGATCTTCTTGCCTGTATCTCCGAAGCGCTAGGATTAGAGGCATGCACCAACATGCCTAGTTTTTGCAGTGCTGTGGTTGAAACCCGTGTATGCTAGGCAAGTATACTACCAGCTGAGCTACACCCCCAACCCCCTCTAGCCCCCCCTTTAAAAATAATTTATTTATTCATTATGTATACAGTGTTCTGCCTGCTTGTACACCTGCACGCCAGAAGAGGGCACCAGACTTCATTATAAATGGTTGTGAGCCACCATGTGGTTGATAGAAATTGAACTCAGGATCTTTGGAAGAGCAGCCCGTGCTCTTAAACTCTGAGCCATCTCGCTAGCCCCTCCATTCCCTTTTTTTACAATGGCTGACAATTTTGAAAATGCTTCCATTGAGTCCTCCATTTCAGCTGAATTTTTATTTGTTCAAAGTTCTGGAGGTGGGAACATGCTTGGAAGTTACTATTATTGATAGATCTTCACCCACAAGTGGACAGACAGACACCCTCAGGCCCAACCCCAAGACAAGAACCCCATCAAAGCCAACTGCATGCAAGGTACACCCGGAAGCAAAGTACACCCAGAAGCAAGGTGCACCTGTAGGTGCTTGGGTCTTATGCACCTTGGCTTGGGTGACGCCTTCAAGCCACACAAGAGGAAAACACAGGATATGGAACCTTCTCACTCAGCACAGGAAACACCAGGTCACTAGCATGCTTGGAGCTCCCTCGGGTTCTCGCAGAACCCTAAAAGAAATGCTGAGAGTGGAAAATGAACTCAGGCCTCATCCCAGCTGCTGTGCGAGGCTCAAAGCTGCTTGGCAAGACGTCAATACCTATGTCCAGGTTCGGGGACAGAGGAGAGGTGACTAACCCTCTGTGTTATTGCCGTGGTGTCTCCGGATGGAAAACCTGGTGCCCCGTGCCTTGGCACCTGCAGAAGTCCGGTTTCTCTTGGCATCCAGGTTTCGGATGTGCCTCTGAACCCACAGCAACTTGGGGTCACTACAGATCTTATGGCCTTTCTTGGTGATGAAGCTGTAGGGAAGAATGGCAAGGGTTTTAATTTGAGGTCTGGCAAGGTCCTGGAACTAACTTTTCCTTCATGAGGAAGTGAACTTGGGGGACCAGGAGGACCAGGAGTCTCAGCTGCTCGCCCTTGGGGCTAGGAATCTCAGGACATGAGGCTTTTCTCTGGGCACTGGGGGAGGGAGGACGGTGAACTGTGGGGAGCCACACTCATTCTGTGACCTCCCTGTAGAGAGGAGTCCTGCCTTTGAGTTACAGGGCTGGATATGAAGAGCTATGTCGGCAGGGAAGATGAGCAGAGCAGACAGCTCATGGGTAAAATGTCTGCCTTGCAAGGTGGGGATTCAAGTTCAATCCTCAGAATCTGCTTTTTTAAAAAAATCTAGGCACGGCCAGGTGGTGGTGGTGTGAACCTTTGATCCCAGCACTCCGGAGGCAGAGGCAGGTGGATCTGCATGAGTTCAAGGTCTATAGAGCTAGTTCCGAGGTAGCCAGGGCTACACAGGGAAACTCTGACTTGAAAAACCAGCCAACCAACCAAATATAAAATCCAGGTATGGTGATGGCTGCTTTTAATCCCAGTACTGGGGAGGCAGATCCGTGGGGCTTGCCAGCCAGCTAGCTAGACTAGTTGGTGAGTTCTCTGGTGAGAAAGCCAGAGAAAGCTTGCTATTCTGAGTTCTATTTACAGGACCCACAGGGTGGAAAAAGAGAGCCCGATTCCTCAAGTTGTCCTCTGATCCCTACACATGACACGCATGCGTGAGCATGCGCGCGCGCGCGCACACACACGCACACACACACACACACACACACACACACACACACACTCACACTCACACTAAATTTAAACTGTTTTTTTAAGACCGTTATCCTGAAGGAGGTGCACGGCACACTTGATGACACCCAAGACTGCCCTGTGTTCTCCACAGATATACATGCAAACATGTACAAAACACACATCCACATTTTAAAAGGCAGACATCACCATCTCCTCACACTAAGCATGGAACATGGCTACAGGGCGTGCTGAAGCTGAAAGGGGAGCCTGGGATGTGCCCTTCCATGCCAGCTTTCAGGACCGATCTGATGCCAGTCATTCCCTGTGCACTGTTGCCTGAGACACAAGTTCATGCTTGCTACCCCGAGAGAAGGGATGGCTCTGAAGCTATGTGGAGTCTAGAGGCCACTGGTCTTTCTGAGCCTTCAGTAAAATGGAAAAAGTTATCTGTTCTTTATATGATTGTTTTTTGTTTTTCCATGCTGGGGATGAAACTCAGCGCTTTGTGCATGTTAGGAAAGTACTTTATTGCTGAGCCACACTCCTATCCCTCACTGGGAGATTCCAAGCAGGCTTTCTAGTATTGTCTCATGGACTGTTGAGAAGATTAGTTAGGCTAATGTCATATCATGTATTTCCCTCCATGAACAATGCCTTGCTTACATTTGGTGCTTGGCGGATGTTCTCAGCCTCTTGAGTGTTGGAATTAGTAGTCTGTACGATCATGTCCTGGTTGTCATGTGATGTTGGAAATGGAATCTCAGGCTTCATGTATTCTGAGCAAACACTCTACCAGCTGGCCTACCTCATTGCCCTGCTTCCCACTTAGTCTTATGGGTGAGGAAGCTGAAGTCCAGAGAGGTCTAGCATCCTCTTCCAAGATGCACAGAGATGCACTTCCTAGGGGACTCTGGAGGTTCTTGGGTTAGATACTCACATCACTCCTGCCTTGGGACAGACACTGCCATTGGCCAACTGGTAGCTAACCACTCGGTTTTCTGGAATTTTCTTGGAAATAAAGGAGATGCAGCAAGAAGAGGGAATGGTCACAGAGTCTAAAAGAAGAGAGAGAGGAGCTGTGTCAGCATCCAGCCAGCCATAGGCTCTTTCTTAGCTGCAGACACTGAGCGTGTTCTACGCCAGACCAGTTAGAGCCTCCCCCAGCCCCAGGCTTCTCATCTCCATCGGGCTGAACCAGCCATGCCCTTAGAAGCTGCCAGCAGCCCCAGGCTGGGTCCAGAAGTCTCACCTGTGGGGAAGACGCAGCACATGCAGGCTACCAGGAGAAGGCTGGCAATGATGGTGGTGGAGACTGCCATGTCCTGGAGATCAGACACAGCTCAGAGCTCAACTGTGGAGTGCAGAAAAAAGGCCGAGGCACATGAGAATGCTTCCTTCAGGGCACCTCAACCTCCGTTCCACTGGCCTTTATATGGGCAGCTCAGGAGTTGCAGGCACTGGTGTTTCCCTTCGCCCTCTCCCTCTCCCCCACTGATTTCCTCGAAAATCATGAAGCCTTCTGTGGTCCAAAAGGGGGAAGTTGTTGTCAGTTTCTTGTCCAGCTGAATCAGGATTATTTTGGGGCTCTGGCAAGACCTGAGGAAGGATTCTCATCCTGCCTAGGCCAAGGCTGAGGGCAAATGCATCAGATGACTTGGCTCTGCTGCTTATTGTGTGGAATCCTGAGTAAGTTACCTACTTGAGTCTCGGTTTTTGTAGTTGCACAATGGGTAAGGTCCTCCCTATCTGCCTTTCTTCCAGCCAGCCATTCATCCATTAATCTACATGTCCTTCCATGCATCTGTCTACTCGTTCATCCACCCATCCATTGATCTACCTGTTCATCTATCCATCCATCCACCCATCCATTGATCTACCTGTTCATCTATCCATCCATTGATTTACCTGTCCACCCTTCTATCCATCCATTCATCCATTGATTTACCTGTTCATCCATCTATCCATCTATCCATTCATTCACCCATCCATCTACCTGTTCATCTGTCCATCCATTCATCCATCCATTGTTCTATCTATCTATCTATCTATCTATCTATCTATCTATCTATCCATTTATTGATCTACCTGTCCATCTACTCTACTTGTCTATCCATCTATCCATCTAAAGGAGACTTAGACGGGCAAAATCAGACTCCATGAGGTGGTGGCATGTTCTCACAAGACATTGGGCGAAGAAGTGGTGAGAAGATACAGGGGTAGATATCTAAACATGACTGGTAATGATGAAGGGAAAACCCTGAGACCCTATAAAATACCCAAGCCAGTGTCCATTTAAGGACTTTGAACCTTAGAGCCCTTCACAATCTGAAAATATAAAGTGGTTACTTTCTTTCTCTTGGATTGGCTTTCTGTCTTTCCCAAAAGTTGTTCTTTGTCCATGTGGGTAACCAAACTTGGCAATCTTCTAGACCCATCTGTCATCCACATCTATTTATCCATCCATTCATCTACTGGTCCATCAGTCCATCCATTTATTCACCTGCCCATCTACCCAGGCATTCATTCACCTATTCATTCATTCATCAAACAAATTTTAAAGCATGTGTTACGGTGGACTGGTCTATAGAAATAAATGTTTCATTTCTATGCCTATCAAGTCCCTAATCTTGTGTCCAGCATTTTTAGAATAAATATAAAATGGATCAACTCTGAACCAGACATCTCAGAGACTGGTGCACATCCTTCAACATCACCCTTTTCCATTTCTCTTTCTTTCTTTCTTTCTCTCTTTCTTTCTTTCTTTCTTTCTTTCTTTCTTTCTTTCTTTCTTTCTTTTAAGACAGGATCTCATGCAGCCCAGGATGACCTTGAATTTCTGATTCTTCTGCCTCCCCTTCCTCTGTGCTCAAACTACAGGTGTCTACCACCACACCTTGTTTTATAACCATTCTTCGAATCAAACCCAAGCACTCTGCCAACTGAGCCACATCTCCGGGGATTCTACATCCTTTCACTAGAGAGTGAAAAATAGTCAATGCTTCACTGCCTTCACACTCACCTGCCTTAGCCTATCTCATCAGCCAGCAATGGGAATTCTCATCTGGCACAACAAATGTGCCATAAGTGCTGGAAACTGAACTGGGGTCCTCTGGAAGAGCCTCCAACTCTGTTACATGCTGAGCCATCTCTCCAGTCTAGGCTTCAAATAAATTATTACATTTACTTAGACAGTGATTTAGTTAGATGTGTGTGTGTGTGCTACAGTGTATGTGTGGAGGTCTGAGGATAACTTGCAGGAATCAGTTCTCTCCTTCCGCCGTGTGGGTCCTGGGGATGGAGTCAGGTCGTCAGGCTTGTCAGCAAGCACTTTTATCCCCTGAGCCATCTGGCCAGCCCTGATGTAAGGGCTTTTCATCCTTGCAGTTTTCTAAAACTTTCTTTTACTTTTCTTATTTTTAATTAAAAAGTTAATTTTAGGATTTGTGTGTGTATGCATCTTAAAACTTTTATATTTCTTTTTTGGATAGGAAAATAGTTTATTAACTACATTACAAGCGATGAGTCAGCAGTAACTAGAGTTCCTACAATCTATTTTGACTGTTACCTTTTCGCCAGTGTATCTTATGTGATGTGTGTGTGCAGTGTGTGTACATGAACATGTGAATGCATCCAAGTGATTGCATATGGTTGTGGAAGCCAGAGAGGCTGATGCTGGGTATTTTCTCTCCACATTTATTTATTTAGATTTTATTTTTATTTTAAAGTGTGTGTGTGTGTGTGTGTGTGTGTGTGTGTGTGTGTGTGTAAGTACAGGTACCATGAGAGACCAGAGGAGGGTGTCAGCTTGCCTGGAGGTGGAGTTGTAGATGGTTTTGATGGCCTGGAAACTGGGAACTAAACTAGAATCCCCTGCAAGAGCCGTAGGCACTCTTCACAACTGAACCATCTCTTCTCAGTCCACCTTAGTTTTTGAAACAGGATCTCTCATAGACCCTGGATTGACTTAGCTAGACTGGTTGGCCAATGCACTTCAGGAATCACCTTTGTCTGCTCCAGGGCTGGGCTTTTAAGGCCACACTGCTAAAGCTCAGCTTAAAAAATAATACATTTACTTTAAAAAATAATACATTTGTCAGGGGGCAGGGAATCTGTGCTGTAATGCACATGTGCAGGTCAGAGGATAATCTTGTGGGACCAGTTCTCTCTTTCTGTCTTTGCCTAGGTTCTGGGGGTGAAATTCAGGTACTCATGCTTTGGACAGCAAGTGCTTAACCACTGAGCCATCTCCCAGTTTTCCCCACTATTGCATTTTATTTCTAGGGTCCACCCTAGTCTTTGCTGCTTAGCAGTTCTGAGGGGCAAGTCCATTGTTACTCTGGGCCTTGGTGCAGTAACACATGGCAGAAAGAGGAAGTGGAAAAACCATGTCTATCCGGAGAGAGAAGTACATGGCAGGGATGAGCAGGGCCTAATGTTGTAACTTAAGTGGCTTGGCAAAAGGTCATCAGTGGGCAGGCTTGGTGTGGATGTTGCATCCCAGACTGATAACACCTTTAGGGGTTTTCCAAGGCCTTAAAATGCCACCCACTCCATCTTTATAGTCTATCTAGAGGATTAGGTTGGGGTTCCCAACCCTGTTTGTTGTTTTGTTGTTGTTCAGTTGGTTGGGTTTTTCTTATTTTGTTTTCTTTTTTGGGGGGGGGTATGTGTGGTGTGCATATGGGTATGCTTTGGACCTGTGTGTGTACACATATACATGCATGTCTGTGTGCCTTTGGAGGCTAGAGGTTGATAGTATCTTCCTCAGTCACTCTCCACCTTTTCTAATGTGGCAGGGCTTCTCACTGTACCCAGAACTCACTGGTTCAGCTATTCTAGCTATCCAACCTGCCTCAGGGACTCCAAATGCTAGGACTGTAGATGAACCACCACTCCACACATCATAGGCGTGAATGCTGGGGATTTAAACTCAAGTCCTCCTGCTTGCACATGCACTGATGGCTCCTACAGCCATAGTTTACAAGGAGAAAATGGGGCTCCTATGAAGGGAGATAAACAAGGCCAGCAATCCTGGGATCCCTGAGAACATGTATCCTTTTTCTTGCAAGTCTGTGATGTGAAAGGCAGAGGAGGAGAGTTTAAAGAAAGAGTGAGAAGCAGGGCCTGGTGGCACATGCCTGTAATCCTAGTCTTGGGGAGCTGAAGCAGAGAGATTGAAAGTTCAAAGCTAGCCTGGGCTACATGGAGGGGTACAGTTCAGCCAGGGCTGTTTAGTGAGAGAGTGAAAGAGTGCAGGGGAAAGAGGAGGGAATGGGAGAGAGGAGAGGAAGTGAGGGAAAGGGAAAAGAGCAGAAAGAGGAGAGAAAGGAGAGGAGAGCAGAGCTGGAAGCCTGGTGTGCCATGTCCCAGAGCCTGAGGCCGGAGTTCCAGCAAAGGGAAGAGACACTGAAAGAGAAAGAAGCAGCAGGTGTCAGGAAGGCAACGGACACCCCAGGAGAAGCTTCTAGAAGGAGGATGGGCAGGAGGCACGTGGTAAAGGAAGCACTGGGAGGAAGCAGCTCATGACCCCGGCTCCAGCTCAGACTTCCCACTTCTGTGAGTTTGGGTGCTGCTCTGACTCAGTGTGAAACACTATATCTCACAGGTGACAAAAGAACGGACAATGTAGCACTGAACCTAAAACATGCCCTGTTTTGTCAGCTAAAACTGAAGCCTGTTTTTAATTTAATTCTCAGATTTCTATCACTTATTTTGCTTTATGTTTGCTTTTGTTTTGTTAGTTTTCTTTTTTCTTTTTCTAACATAATTCTTGAAATGTCAGCTGCATCGTTTGGAATTTTTAAAAAATTTGTTTGCTATTAGAGTGTGTGTGTGCGTGTGTGTGTGTGCGTGTGCGCGCGTGTGTGTACTCATGTACCATAGAGAATGTGTGGTGGTCAGAAGACACCTCTGGGGCTACAGGTGTGGGCCACCACACTACTTAAGATGACAGTTTGCACAGATGGCTCTAGATTTCTCTAAGGTCAGATATGAGTTGAGCTGGGTCTTTTAGTGCAGGCCTGTCATCCCAGCAGCTTGAAAAGCTGAGGCAGAAGGATCACACACAAGGTCCAGGCCAACATCATGCTACATAGTGAGTTTAAGGCCAGCCTGGGCAACTGAGTGTGATCCTGCCCTTAAATGAGAAAAGAGGGCAGGGTGTACCTCAAACCCCAAGCACCTGCCTAGAATCCCCCAGCGAGGGGCTGGCTTAGTGATATAATACTTGCCTAGCTTGTACATGAAACTGTACTGAAGAAACAAGAGGGGCAGGGGGAAATAAATTAGTCCAAAATATCTCAGAACATATGTATGTCCCAGAAAGAGAATTCTTGACATCACCTGACAGAAGCAGCATAAGAGAAGAAAAAATTATTTTGGGTCATGGCTTCCAGTAATTTAAGTCCATCATGGTAAGGAAGGCATGGGGGCAGGAAGGCAGGAGAGGCCCAGGCCATGTTGACATGTTGACAGGGGCCAGACCAGAGCCTTCGGGATCCATCCTTAATGACCCACCAGCTGAAGGGAGGGGAGACTCCATGCCAGAGAGTTCACATCCTCCCCAGATCAGAGCCACCAGCAAGGGGCACAAATGTTCAAACACATGAGCCCTTGGGGACCATTTCAGATTCAAACCACAGCTATGGCAGCTGTAATGCCACAAAAGCAGAACATAATGTAATGCTTACATTTACATTGTCACGTGCTGTTTGAGCTCACTGAAAAGCTACTCTAGAAGCAGGGCTTCCCTTCCCCCATCTCAGCCCCAAGCACTTTTGTTTCAGTGTCCTGTAAGACCCCATGCCTGGGCTTCAGCTGCCAACCCCACCACCACCAACTCTGTGACAGGGAGGAAAGAGAGTTGGCAACACTCTGGCCTTGAGGACAGCTGGAAGGTGACCCATTTCTAACGGGGGTCACTAGTGTTCACACCATGATACAAAAGTGCTCACAGTGGGAGACAACAGAATCTGGAAGTTCAAGGCTGGAGAGATGGCTCAGAGGTTAAGAACACTTTCTGTTCTTCCAGAAGTCCTGAGTTCAATTCCCAGCAGTCACAGGATGGCTCAAAACCATCTATAATGAGATCTGGTGCCCTCTTCTGGCCTGCAGGCACACATGCAGGCAGAATACTATTTACATAATAAATAAATCTTTTTTTTTTTTTTTAAATCTTGAAGGTCAGCCACGGAAAGAAAGTTCCATGGGAAGCTCCAGCTGACCGTCTCAGCTTCCCCAATAAGATTCTGAGAGATGGCTCAGAGGCTAAGAGCACTGGCTACTCTTCTAGAGGACTCAGGTTCAATCCCTGGCACCCACACAGCAGATCACAACTGACTCTAATTCCAGTTCTAGGGGGATCCAATGGATCCAGACCTCCTGTAGATTCTATGGGCACTAGGCATGTACACATCTCTTTGTAATTCTAAATTATTGACTATGTGTCCCGTGCATAAGGCCAGAAGAGAGCATCAGATCCCCTGAAGTTGGAGTTATAGGAGGTTGTGAGCCACCATGCGAGTGATGAGATACGAACTCTGTTCCTCAGCAAAAATGGCACATGCTCTGAACCACTGAGCCATTTCTCCAGTTCCTTTATTTGGAAACCTCACTTGATGGGAGGCTCTGCTCTTCCCTGGACTCTTGCTCAGAAACTCCGTTGCTGCCTCAATCAGGTTCCCCAGTTGGTTTCCGCTGGATATTTTAAGCACCTGCTCTGATAGTTTGCATTTTCTCTTTCTCTTCTCTTATGCTTTTACTTCCACTTGCTATGTAACTATATAAACTCACTCATTCAAAGCCAACTATGGCCATCATAGACATTTCAGAACACACAGGCTAGGGCCCTTAGTATGAGGGGGATAGGGTTGGAGCCAAGCCCTGTTTGCCTAGGAAACTGAACTTAGAAGCTCATCTCCATTCATCAGCACTGTTATCAATGGAAGGAAAGGGCGACCTGCTGCAGTCAGAAAGGGTGGTGCTCACGTGTAGAATGAGCTGGGAAAGTCTCCCACAAGCCGGGCTCAGCCTTGATCTTATGGCAACCACTCACAGTTTGGAGTAGGTTAATGAGACCGAAGCTGTGATCTGGTAACATGGCGGCAGTGAATGGAAGGAGCTGGGGACTGAGTGGCTGGCAGAAGCAACTTGAGGAAGCCCACTGTGGCAGGGTCAGCAGGTGGCAGGAAGGTCCTGTTGCCAACCTTGCTGATGTCCAGGGGGCCTAGACTTGGATGGGAACAAGGAAAGGACCAGGTGCGTTCTCTAGAGCAGAGGTTCCCAAGCTGTGTGTCATGACCCTTTCCGTGGCTAAATGACCCTTTCACAGGGGTCGCCTAAGACCACCAGAAAACACAAATATCTACATTGTAACAGTAGCAAAATTACAGTTCTGAAAGAGCAACGAAAACAACTTTATGGTTGGGGGTCACTGCAACATAACATATTAAAGGGTCCCAGAATTAGGAAGGTTGAGAAGTACTGTTCTAGAGGGACTATGCCTTTAAAATACATACAGAAGAGGGAGGTGGAAAATCTGAGGCGCCTGCTCAGGACCCCATTCAATCTGCTGAGGTTAGCATCTGTTCCCAGAGTTAACACGTTCCCACATTTAAGCTCAAACGCAACAGTGTTGAGAAACAAGACCTCCGGCTGGGGGGGTGGCTTACTGGATGAGGGCACAGGCGTGAACACCAGTGCCACATATGGCTGTGCAGCATGAGAACCCAGCTCCTGGGGGCAGTCACAGGGAGGCAGGGGGACCACCAGCACTTACTGGCCAGCTAGCCTAGATAACGAACGGTGAGCTCAGTTTCAGTGAGAGATCCCGTTTCAAGGAAATATACCAAGGAGTGATGGGACATTTGACTTCCTCCTCTAGTGCATATATATATCCCCACAAACACACACACACACACACACACACACACACAGTGATAGTTGGCGTAACTGTCATGTCAGCTTGCCACAGTGTTGAATTGCCTGGGAAAGGTCTCATTGAGGGACGTCTGCCTCTGCCCCCCAAATGCTGGGATTACAGGCGTGTGCCACCACGCCCGACCTGTGAGGGTTTTCTTAATTGTCCTAACTGACAAGAGAAGACAGAGCCTGGAAAGTGGAGACACTATTCTTTTGTTTTGGGCCTTGGGCATGGAGGCAGCCCCAAGCACCTGTGTGTGCACTGTTCCCAGCTTCTGACACTGGAGGTGATGTACCCAGTAGCCTTCAGTTCTGGCTGCCTGGACTTCCCTGCTGTGATGGACTGGAACCTGGAATTGTCAGGCAGATAAGTGCTCTTCCTCCAAGGCGCTGTTTGTTGATATATTTGTCCTAGCCACAGAAACGAAAATAAGCATGTGCAACAACAGGAATGCATACTCCCCCTCCCTCTCTCTCTCACCACAGAGAAAACACACAAGTGGGGGAGGGCACAAAGAGATGGGACCTTACCAGTCATTAAGTGCTGAGAGCTCTGCCCTCAGTAGCAGAGGAGTAGCGCTGTGGGAGAGGGCTTGTGATAGAGGAAGGAGCTGGGACTGAGGAGATGGTTCAGTGGTTAAAACACTTGCCTCACAAGGATGAAGACTCAAGTTCAGTCCCAAGAACCTATGTTTAAATAAACAAACAAAAGAGCCAGATTGCTGGGCATGGTAGCACACGCCTTTAGTCCCAGCACTCAGGAGGCAGAGGCAGGCAGACCTCTGAGCTCAAGACCAATTTGGTCTACACAGAAATTTCTAGACCAGCTAGAATCACAATAGTGAGACCATGTCTAAAAAAAAAAAATGAAAAACTAAGGCAGGTGTGGTGGTGTATAGTAGTAGCCCCAGAACCCCCAGAAACAGGGAGGCAGGAGGCGCTCCAGAGCCTGCTGGACAGCTAGCCTAGGATACACGGTGAGCTCCGGGTAATGAGAGAGCTCATCTCAGAAACAAGCAAACAAATAAGTGAGAGCTATCATGGCCCCTGAGGCATGACAGCTGAGGTAGTCCTATGGCCTCCAAGCATGTGCACGTAAGTGTATACACACAGACACACACACACACAGGGTGAGCCGTCTTTCCTTCTACTCCCTTTCTCCTTCCCTTCTGCCTTTCTTTATATGATACAGCAAGAAGGTCCTTCTGAGATGTCCCTTGACCTTGGGCTTTCCCGGCTCTTGAACTGCAAGAAGTAAATTCCTTTTCTTTATTAATCCAAGCCTGGCGTGATGAGTCACTCCTTGTAAGCCCAGCACTCAGGGCAGGAGGATTGATCAGAGTCTGAGGTCAGCTTGGGTTAGAGAGTGAATTCCAGACCAACCCAGGCTTCAGTGTGACACTGTCTCTAAAAGAAAATGGAGAGATGAGATAGCTCAGTGTTTGCTGCCTTTGCAGAGGACCAGAGTTCAGTTCCCAGTTCCTACATTGACTGGCTCACAACCATCTACAACTGCAGCTCCTGGGCTTCTGACTCCCTCTTCTGGCCTCTGTGGGTACTGCATTCATGTGCACATACACATATAACAGAAAATTTGAAAAAACATTATCTAGTCTGTGCCATTCAGTTACATCAACACAAAACAGACTAAGACATTGTTAGGCTGCTGTTTACAAATACTTGAGACTAGAGAAATGGCTCAGCAGTTAAGAGCACTGTCCAGACATCCTGAGTTCAATTCCCAGCAACCACATGGTGACTCACAACCACCTATACAGGGATCAGATGCCCTCTTCTAGCAGACAGGTGTGCATGCAAATAGAGCACTCATCTACATAAAATAAATAAATACATCTTTTTTTAAAAAAAAAGAAAACAAATACCTGAGAGAAAACATTTAAAGAAGAAAAGGTTGTGGGACGTGGTGGCTCATGCCTTTAATCCCAGCACTAGAAAGGCAAAGGCAAATATAGCTCTGTGAGTTCAAAGACACCCTGGTTTACATAGTGAGTTCCAAGACAGTCAGAGTTATATATTGAGACCTTGTCTTGAACCCCACCCCCCGAGTAAAGAAGGAAGGCTTATTTCACTTACAGATACAGCAGTTTCGGTTGGTCCCAGAGTTTAGGTCTGAGGTGAGGCTGAAAATCACAGCTGAGGAACCATGTGATGGAGCAAGGCTGCTCACCTCATGGTAGCCAGGAAGTAGAGGAGAACAGGAAGGGGTGAGGCCACATGCTGCTGAGTGGCAGACCCCCAGGAACTTACTTTCTCCAAGCAGGCCTCGTGTTCCACAGTTCACCTCTTCCTATAGTCTACCGGGACCTTTTTTGTTTTTGTTTTTTGAGGGTTTTTGGTTTGGTTTGGTTTTATTCAGGACAGATTCTCACTATGTAGCTCTGGCTAGTCTGGAACTCACTCTGTAGACCTGTGCTCTCAAACTCACAGAGATCCACCTCCCTCTGCTTCCCAAGTGCTGGAATTAAAGGCATGCAACACTACGCCCAGCTTTAAGCTTTCTTTTAAACATCGTTTATTTAGTTAGTCATTCGTGTTGGTCTTCATTGCACACATGCCATAGTATGCACATGGAAGTCAGAGGATAACTTGTGTCAATTCTCTCCTTCCACCATGTGGTTCGGGCTCATCAGCAAGCACCTGCTGAGCCACCTTGACGACCCCGCTACTCAACAAATGGTCCATCGGTGGATGGCTTCACATCTGAGCTACATCCCCAGTCCTCCCTTTCCGTGATCATTAGGGGCAGGCGGTGGGAAGCAGTTTGATGGGCACAGAGTTCTTTTGCAAAATGCAAACATTCTAGAGAGTTAGAGGATCTGTTGTTATTCAATAATATGAGGGTGTTGAGCCTGCTGAGCTGGGTTTGAAGGTGAGCCTACAAACCCAGTAGTAGTAGTAGTTTGGGTACTACGATTAAACAATAATGGAAAAATAACAAGTGCCGTCAAGTAACTGGGAAGTTCCATTCTTCGCCAGCGGAATAAAAATGTCATGACCACTATGGGAACCTTAGCAGTTCCTCAAAGTTAAGCATAGAGTAATGCTATGACTCAGCAGTCTTGCTCCAATTGTACACCCAAGCAAATAAAAACAACCGGATTCACACAAAAACTTGTGCCCTAATCTTCGTAGCTGCATGTTCATAATTGCTAAAAGGGGAATGGGGGAAAACTGCAATATTTATGCAGTGGGATATTATTCATCTGCAAAGAGGAATAAGGTGCTGGGAGACGCTGCCCTCAACCTCCCCTGTTGGAAAGAGTCCTTTTTGTTGTGGCAATGGTGCTGGGGGACTGAGAAGGTCACACTAAATGACAAAAGTCAGCATGAAAGCCGCACTATTCCTTTTGTAAGATGTGACTGGATTAGTGACTTCGCAGTCTTTTGGGTAAGGTCAAGTGAAGAAATAAAACAGGAAAATCCATAGGGATGAACAGTTGCCGAGTCCTGGGAGTTGGGGGGATTGGTCGCAGGGTTTCTTCTTAGGGGTGATGGGATGTTCTGGAATTAGACTATGGTTATAATACATTCACTATTTGTGACTAATGCACTCAGTATACACTATTTTATCTTTCAATATTTTTCTTTTTATTATTCATTTATTTATTTATTTAGTATATGTGTGCACTCGAGTGCGCGTGGGCACGCTGTGGAGAGGGGAAAGGAATGCCTGCCATGCCACAGGTGTGGAGGTCAGAGGACAATTTGCAGATGTTGCTTCTCTCCTCTGAGACAGATTCTCAATGTGTAGCCCTGGTTATCCTGGAACTCATTCTATAGAGCAAGCTGGCCTCAAACCCACAAAGATCCACCTGCCTCCCGAGGGCTCCTCAGTTCTCTCTTTCTACCATGTGGAGCTAAAGGACTGAACAAAGGTTCTCAGGATTGGTGGCAAGAGCCTTTACCTGCTGAGCCATCTTGCTGCCCTCAACTTACCCTTTTAGAAAGTCCTTTCTAGGGCTGGAGAGATGGCTCAGTGGTTAAGAGCAGTGTCTGCTATTCTTAAGGAATTCAACTCCCAGCACCCACATGGCAGCTCACAACTGTCTGTGACTCCAGGCCTGACACCCTCACACCAATGCACATTTAAAAGAAAAAAAAAAGTAAATTAGGAAGTCCTTTCTGTTGGTGGCAGTCAGTATGCTTGGGATTGAACCCAGGGCAATTCTCCATCACCACGCCTCTAACTACACCCTTCAATTTATACTGTAAAAGGGATGAAAGAGTGAATTCTATGTTTGTGTATTTTTATTGTCATTAGAAAAAGACAGAAAAGACAGGATGCTAGGGTTATTTGTTTGTTTGGTTGATTGGTTGGTTTGGTTTTTCAAGACAGGGTTTCTCTGTGTGTAGCCTTGGCTGGCCTGGAACTCACTCAGTAAACCAGGCTGACCTGGAACCTAGAATCAGCCTTGATTCTGCCTCCCAAGAACCAGGAGAGCTGGTATCAAAGGCATGCAACACCACTGCCTGGTGCTAAGGTTTTAAACAAATATTTATGTAAATAGCTGGGCCTTAAGGCTTTATTCAGGCCACACCCAAAGCCAAAGACCTGAACTGTCCCCCAAGGTGGCACAGATTCCACCCAGCAGTCTGCTTTATCAGATTGGAACCTGGCATGACTCAGGAAGGTGGGGAGTATGGGGATTTCCCCTCATCTTCCCCCAAGTCCAATCAGGGGCCCTGGCAGAGGAGGAAACTTCTAGCAAAAGATACTGTAGCAGAGCCCTTAGGAAGCCATCTCCAGTCACCACCTGCCCCACCCGTCTCCCTCTCTGCTGCCCCCTCTCTCTTTCTCTCTGTTTTCTGAGATGGAGTTTCTATATGCCATCCAGTTTATGATCCACCTGCCTCTGCCTCCTGATTGCTAGCACTACAAGAATACCAGTATCCCATCTAGACCTGTTCTTTTGAGTCCCTTGTGGTCTTCTTTGGGCCTCAGGGCCCTTTTATTCTCTCTGGCCAATCTTATACCAAACCCCACTCCATGAAAGGAAATGAAGGTAGGGTGTGGCTCAGTGGTAAAGCACCTGCCTAGAATCCCCCAGTGAGGGGCGGGGGTGTGTGTGGCTAAATAGTAGAGGACCTGCCTAGAAGTCTCATAAGATGCAGGGAGATAATGATTTCCAGGCCCAAATATGTTAGAGTTCCAAGCCAATCTGGGTCTTGACTCAAAAAGTAAAACAAAAGAAAAAATAAAAAGAGAGAAATAGCCATTCCAGCCCTCAGGTGGGAAAAATAGAGGCTGGGATGTCTTTATGTGCTGGAAGGAAAGATTCATAGGAATATGGCACAAAGGCTACAAGAGCTAATTCACAGGAGTAAGCACTGGCCAAATCCAGGACAGTTTGTCCAGCAATAGGTCAGAGATGCACTGAATAAAACATAAGTGTTCCTAGATATGCTGACAAATGAAGGAATGGGCAGATGGGTGGAGAATGAAATTCTGTATCTGCGCTAACTGTATACAAATGTTGGAACCCTGGCACCCAGAACGTTAACGTGTGACTTAATTTGCAGGCATACTTCTTGTACATGATCAAGTTAAAATGTGCCACTTGATGGGCCAAAATGATTGATGCTCTTTCTTCTCCTTCTTCTTCTTTTTTCTTTTTTTGGTGTGTAGCTCTGGATGTCCTGGAACTTACTCCCAAACTCACAGAGATCCCCCTACCTCTGCTTCCTGTAGTGCTGGGATTAAAGGCCTGCTTTACCATTGCCTAGCAATTAGTGCTGTTTTCTATTTGGTTCATTTGAGATTTGTGTGTTCCTCTGCTTGCTTTTGAGGCAGAATCTCAATAGGTAACCCAGGCTGGTCTCAAATTGAGGATTCTCTTGCCCCAGCCTCCCAAGTACTGGGATTATAGACATGCACAATTGTGTCCAGGTGAATATTAGTTCTCTACTCACCTCTGCTCCTCTCTTCATGGAGATGGGAATAGTATCTCTCCTGCTAGGCAGGTGCTCTACCACTGAGCCACAGCCCAGCCCCTCACTGGGGGATTCTAGGCAGGAGCTCTACCACTGAGCCACACCCCAGCCCCTCACTGGGGGATTCTAGGCAGGCACTCCTCTGCTGAACTACAGCATGCAACCCAATCACTTGTTTTCTTATTTTAAAAAAGGGAAGTTTAAACACATAGACAGATTCAGACATAAGAGAAGGATGTAACAACAAGGGGAAAAGAAAAGGTCATTTACATAGAAGGAGATTGGACTGGAACAGAGCCCTTTCCTCAGACCTTAGAAGAAACCGTCCCTTTCCACTCCTCGCTCTCGTCCTCTAGCTCCCCTGACTAGGAGACAGTGTGGGCTGCTTCTGAAGCCACTGAGTCGACAGTCCTGTAAAGCAGCAGCCTAGTGCCTGGCTCAGTGCCTTCCACAGACTTTCAACTGACAAAAGAGAAATGAGTTAGATCTTCAACAGCTGCTCAAACCAGGAGCAGAGATGATGTTTCCTAGTGGGTCACAGTGAGTGTACAGCCTGTAATCCTAGCTCTTGGGAGGCTGAAGCCAGGAGTATTGGGGATTCTAGGTCATGCTCTGCTTCAGAGGGAAACACTGTCTCAAAAGCAAAGAAATTAAAGCCAGGTGTGGTGGCACATGCCTTTAATCCCAGCATGGGGCAGGGGGAGGGGGAGGGGGAGGGCAGTGGTGGGAAACTGAGGCAGGAGGCTTTCTGTGAGTTTGACAACAATCTGGGTTACAGAATGACACCACCTCAAAAAAGCCACACTGGGGACGGGGAATACAGCTGGGTTTCAGGTTGCTTGCCTAGCCTGCACGGAGCCCCGGGTCCCCTCCCTAGCGCTGCATAAACTCAGTGTGGCATTGCACACCTGTAACTCCAGCACTTAGGAGGTGGAGGCAGAGGATAAGGGGTTTAGACTCTTCAGCTGCATGCTGAATTTGAGGCCAGGCTGTGATTCGTGTCTCTATCCCCACCCAGCACTCGGGAGGCAGAGGAAGAGGGTGTGGGTCTCTGAGTTTGAGGCCAGCCTAGTCTACAAAATGAATTCCAGGACAGCCAGGGCTACACAGAGAGACCCTGCCTTGAACCCCTGCAACAAACAAACAAACAAACAAACAAACCACCAACCCAATAACCCTACAACAGAAATAAATGGAGGGAAGGAGGGAGAAAGAGAGGGTAGGGTGGTGTGTTGGTTTTTAAGTGGTCTCATGGACGTGAGGAACCAAGGAAGTGTGAGTGAGCCTGTATCTGAAAGCACAACACACTTATAAACCCAAACCATCCAGCAGAGATCAGTCCTACCATGGAGGGTGGCAGCCCATGGGGATTTCAGGCTTTAAACAGCACAGGAAAGGTCCTATCCATGGGTCCCTTTGGCTCCCGTCCCAGCCTTCTCTCCCAAGGTGGGAAAGACACCTGGGGTTTGAAGTTAGGGAAAGTCACAGGAAGCCGCTGGGAACATGGACGGGATTGAGGTAGGGAGCATAAAGAAAGGCGGACTGGTGGGGTCACAACAGCTTGTGACATCCTCTTTCCTTGCTATCAAACAGACTGACACAGACAGACGGACAGACAGGCAGGCAGATGCACACACACACACACACACACACACACACACACACACACACACACTCCCTGTATTGGGTACAGGGGGTGGGTCCTGAGAACCACTTACCTTGAGGTGACCCCGTCATACCTTAAACACCAAGTTCAGAAGTGGTCTTCTCCTCAACTGACTCAGATCCAGAGGTGCAGGAGAGGGGCTTCCCCGGGAGGGTGCAGAAATCCAGCAGTTCGCAACAACCGCAGGCTGCTGGCTGCCCACAATGCACAGACTTAGATGGGCGTGGCGAGCATGCTCTCACCAGGGGTACGTAGTGAGCCACTTTAGAGATGATCTAGCCCACATACCCTGAGTCCAGTCCAGGAAGGGGTGTGGCCCCAGAGAGAGGCGGGGAGGAGGCACGGATGGCTATGGAATATCTTGCCCTTTGGTCACTCTTTGGGAGGATTGTCAAGGGCTCACTCTGAACATGGACAAGAAGCCCAGAGAGCAAGCAAATTTAGTGGTATCTCTAAGCAGCTAGCCCGGCCGGGATACTCAAAGAGACAGATGCAGCCCCATGGGACCCTTTGTCCAGAACAATACCATCATTCTGTCTCTCCCTGGAGACCCAAGCAGAACCGTAGAGACATGGAGATGAAGTTCAAAGAAAGAGAAGGAAAACAACTGTGGAGAGCAAAGCCATCTAGAGACAGGAGAAACGACCTTGAATGATGGGGAACCCAATCCAAGGAAATGCGCAGCCATCTTGCTAAGTGCACGTATCTGTATGTGTGTATGCCTGTGTGTACCGCAGTGCATGTGTGTTTCAGGTGCGTGTGGAAGTCACGGTCAGCCTCAGGAGTCATCAACCTAGTTTTAGTTTTTATATTTGTCTGTTGGTTTACTTTGTGTGTGTGTGCATGTATGTGTGCAGTCTCTCTCAAATAAATGCATGCCGCGTGCATGTGAGGAGGTCAGAGGACAGCTTGCGGGAGTCAGTTTTCTCCTCACACCCTGCGGCTCCCAGGGACAGAAGTCAGGTCATCAGGCTTAGGTGCAAGCAACTTTGCTTGCTCAGCCCGCTCGCTGGCTGCACCTTGTGTTTAGTTTTGTCTCCGTGACGATGGGATTACTAACTCAGCCACACTGGTTGGCCAGTAAGCCCCAGGGACCTCCCTGTCTCCTTCTCCCCAGTGCTGAGATTACAGGTGTGGACTCCGTGGCACCGTAGGCCAGGCCTTTCCACATGGATTCCGGGATCAAACCCAAGCTCTAGCCTTTGGATGACAAGCGCTTCACAAAGTGAACTGTCTCCACATCCCCACAACACAGTCTTGGTAGGTCTCTATCTGTGTCAGCACTTCAGGCCTCAGAGGACAGGGAGTCCTAGCCACCCCACAATCCCATTCCTTCACTTCCCCTCCCTTCTCCTCCCCTTCCCATCTCCCTCTCTCTTTCCATTTTTTAATTTACATTTATTTATGTATGTGTGTTTGCACACATACATTCCCACGACCACATTCCCAGCATGCATGTAGAGATCAGGGGGCAGCTTGAAGGAATAGATTTTCTTCTCTCCTACCGTGTTTTTTTTTTTGTTTTGTTTTGTTTTTGTTTTTTGTTTTTTGTTTTTTTTTTGATCCTGAGGATCAAGCTCAGTATCAAGTATCTTCATCTTTCTCCCTTCCTTCCTTCCTTCCTTCCTTCCTTCCTTCCTTCCTTCCTTCCTTCCCTCCCTCCCTCCCTCTTTCTTTCTCTCTTTCTTTTTCTTTCTTTCTTTCTTTCTTTCTTTCTTTCTTTCTTTCTTTCTTT